AAGTCCCCAAATAAAAATAAATAAATAAATAAATAATTTTTTTATAACTCCCCGAAACTTTTTTTTATACATAGACAAAAAAAAAAAAAAGAAATTTATTTATGGCAATAAAAATTGAAAAAGAAAAAGAAAAAACGACACATGACGGTATAAATATATATTAACAAGTCGATTCACCACCACAAACTAGACAAAATAAAAAATCCTTTTGTGTCATCGGAATCAAAAAAAAAAGAAATTTTCATATTAATTACAACTCGAATAGAATAAAATTTCTGGACACGCGCATTCAATAGTTTATCATATGTTAACTTATTTACTCCCCTCACCCCTACCCCTACCCATCCCTTCATCCTTTTTTTTTTTTTTTAATAATTATTTGTTTAACAAAAAAAAAAAAAAAAGGAGGAGGAGGAGAAAAATATCTATTATTATAATCATCAAGTTTTTTTTTTTTTTTAAAGAAAATTGGGATAAACGGAGGAGAGGGAGGGTGAGGGGTGGAGGGTGGAGGAACGAATGGGAAAATCCCTTAAATTATTATAATTAATAAAAGAGAAAAAAATAATATTTTTTAATATTATTTTTCATTGATAAAAGTATAATTATTATTGAAATTTATATATATTATTAAAGTTTGTTAAAAATAATAATAATTTTTATCGTCGGAACATGTAATTTAATAAAATAAATAAACGCCATCATCATCATCATTATCATTATTAATAATTTAATTTTTTTTTTTCTTTCTAAAATTTAAATCGTTTAAATAAATCAAAACAAATTAAACATTATTTCATTTAATTACATTTTAATCAACAAATACCGCCGCGATTGTATTTGTTTCACTTCATCTTTTTTCTTTGGAAAATTTTTTAACGAGCATTAATAATGTATCATTATCATTATTATTATTATTATTATTATTATTATTATTATTATTATTATTAATATCAACAACTTGAAATAATAATAATCATTTTTGGGTAACTTGAAAACCAATAAAAAAAACAAAAAATTTTCCATCATTTTAAAAAAAAGAGAGAGAGAATTGAAATTTGAAACTTACACCCACTAAGAAAAGAGAGAAAGAGAGAGAGAGAGAGAGAGAGAGAGAGAGAGAAACGTGAAATTTTTTTTTTTAAATGTTTGTGAATTTAATAAACATTTACATACGTGTCAAATAATAATTTACTAGAAACTTAAATTTTCACACCTTTTTTTATTATTTCAAAGTAAAATTTAAAAAAACCTCCTGTTAAATGGATAAAGAGAGAGAGAGGGAGAGGGAGAGAGTGAGAGAGTGAGAGAAAGAGAGAGAGAGGAAGAGTTTAAATCGCGCCTGTCCTCATTTTAACATTGTTATTCAATATTGGATTTTCAACGGCATTCCGTTAGTGACGACGTTATAGATTGTTTTTACTTAAACGTTTATTATAATTACTTTTTAAATTAAAATAATCAAAAATCGATTTGTTTTCTTTTTTTAATTGGATAAGTTAATGACTTTTATTATTATTATTATTACTATAAATCATCAGGTATGCGTAGCAAATGTATAATTCATAAATTTATATTACCTTTATATATAGTGTTTACGAACCAACCACCATTCATTTTTAATATTTATTTTAACGATTGTATTTCATTTTATTTTAATTATTTATTAACATTTGAATTTATTTTAATTATGAATACGTAAATATATATTCAAACAAGTGTGTGTGCGTGTATGAATTTTCGCGAGTCCGCCCCCACCCCCTTCCACCCTCGCCAACCCATACACCTATTTATAGTAATTTAAATTATGATGTTAGCATGACAGTATTAAAATTAATTTTTTTTTTTTTTTGTTTTCAGTCGGGATGAAATGACTCTCGGAAAATTTTTTTTTTTTTTTTTTTTTTGAAAAATTTACGTTTAGGACGCATTCAAATGAAAGAACAACAAGAACAACAACAAACATTTTACTATCGGGAAAACAAGGAAATTAATTAATTAGTGAATTCACACGGTTAATTATTTATCTTTTTACATAATGTAATTTTTTTTTATATATATAAAAAAAAGGGTCAATTAATAACTTATTAATTAATTGTGTGAATATAAATAAAAAAATATATATTATTTACACGGAGACACAAAAAATGTGCACACGCATGAGCTATACTCAAGCTTGCATGCTTGGTATTGGCTAAAAATATCATTATTATCATTATTTTTATTTTTTTATTTTTTTTTTTAAATTTAAAGCCGTTGGAAGAAAATTTTTTTTTTTTTTTGAATTACATATATATAAGTATAAAGAAAAATGGCATGAGAATACGGTTTGTATTATAATAATAATAATAATATTGAAAATTCATTGCAACCGATAGTTATTATTATTAACGCAGTAGCTTAATAACATTTTAAAAAAAACATTGTGCTAACATTAAACACGATGCTCTAATTATTATGCATTATTAACAAAAAAAAAAAAAAAAAAAATTAAAAATGGACAAAGAGAAAAACATGGCAAGACGTGATTTTCAAATGAGTTCTCTTATTTTAGGTAAGTAAAAAAATTAGGAATATTTTTCATTTATATTTCACAATAAGTATTTATTGCGATTAAAATAAAAAAAATTTTTTCGTATTGTGTCGTCATCACGATTTTTCGTATCGAAAAAAGAATAAAAATTTTGAGCAAAAAAAAAAAAAAAAAACTATTTTACAGATTCTTACGAAAACAAAACAAGAGCATCCCATTCTCCTCCTTTAGTTATTGTACATACAGAAGAAGCTTTAATAGTTATTTTAGTACTCGCTTTATGGATTGCTGCCATTGCTCTTTTTTTTAATCGATGGGGAAAAATAAGAATGCTCGAACCGTATCAACCAAAATTCATACAACAACATAATACTAATTGTCCATTAATCGATCAAACACCTAAACAGGTAAATGTTTTTCTTTTTTTTTAAATTCTTCTACTACTTCTACCACTACTACTACTACTACTACTAGTTCTTCGAATCAGATATTTACAGACGAATCTCAAATAGTGTGAGCTATAAGTATTTTTTTTTTTTTTTAAAAAAAAAGTTTTTATTGCTTAATTGTTAATAGCTTTTTGCCTCTTTTTTTTTTCTCAAAACCCATAAATTTTTTTTACCGATCGCTTAAAGAAAAAAAAGAAAATTTGCTTTCAAATAATTATTTAAATGCATTATTTTCCCTAATGCTTTTTTTTCTTAGGCTTCATACCATCCTTTGAATAAATCTTTTATTTAAAAAAAAAAAAAAACAAAAAAGCTTGATATTTTTTATAGGTTTTTTTTTTATTGGTCGTCGCTTTCGGCTTTTTTATTGCTTGCTATTTTTTTTTTTTTTTTTTTTTTAATATAATCTACTTTTAACGGGTGTAACCGTTCTTTTGTGTTTAATCCGTTCCAACATCTTATCTATAGATATTATTTTCATTGTGTGTAAAAATTCTAAAAGCTAAACAACTCTATTAAACACTGACATTTTTTTTTTTCAACACGATGATGACACAATGTTAGAGAAAAAGCATTAAATAAAATATCTTCTTCAAAGTTTTTTTTTTTTTTTTTTTTCACGTCCGGATACAAAACAAGGATTTTTTTTCTTCCAGAATCGTTCATTTTCAAAGTTTAATTTAAACAAGGAAACTTGTTTTAGCCAACAAAAAAATTGTTTATCTTCCCGTCGAAATTCAGTTTTCATCAATTCATCAATAGTAGCAATGAATTTAAACGTACCAAGAAAAGTTCAATCTGCTTTTGATCTTCAAACATTGGTCCTCTCAGAGCCTGGACTCAACAAACATCATCCGTTAAACGTTAAATTAAATGATGATTTTTCTAGGAGACAAAGTTGTTGGCTTTCGAATAATTCTAAAAAACCAGGACTCGATCATTTGGAAAATAAAGTTCAACAATTAGTCGATCGTCAATCTAGCGTTAAAGACTCCACTTCTTTCGACAGGGGAGAAAATAATAAACGGGAATGGGTTTTTAATGAATTCGGGGAAGACTTTTCAGAATGTGAAACGACGGTTAAAAAAACAAGGAAAAATTGGGATGCGTGTCATCATTTTCAAAATTTATTTATTGGCGAAAGCATGAGCGATAGCAAACGTGATTTATTATCGGGACAAGAATCCAAACACGTGACGGACACAAATAGGAAATCTTTGTGTTTGGAAAAAAAATCACCTTTTCCGAAAGATTATTTTTGTAATTTTGAAGAGAGAGGAAAATTTGAAAAAATTCGTAAGAATTCAATGTATCAATTAGGGTTCCACGAAAGCGATCGATGCGCTCCCCCGACACCTTATCGCGATCATTCAAAATCGGGAGTTGAAGATTTTCGAAGAAATTCAATGTTAATTATCAATACATTAACCGATGATTTAGGATATCAACCGTGCAAAAAAGAATTTCGCTTGGGAGGCTCAAGTTTAGCTTTGAATTCGCATTTGCAAGTTTCAAACAGAAGGAATTCCGGGATACCGAGCAGCGAAGAATGCAAACAAAAAATTAATTTCTGTTTCCGGAACGGTCATCAGCAACATATTTGCCGTCAATTTCCATCGAATCCTCCGTTTTCTCGGAATAATTACTAAAATGTTTTTATACTTACACACACAACACACATAAGGGTTTAATTCAAATCTTGAGATTTGACAAAGATTTTACAAAAAATTTTTCGAGGTAAGTATTAATGTGAGAATTTAAGAAAATTATCTAACGAGAAAACGTAAGATTTTATTTAAATTAACATTTAACATTTTAAAAAAAACACGTCACGAAACGGTTATTACAAAAAAAAAAAAAAATTTTCCAATGTCCTAAAAATTTCAATAAATAAAATGAATAATCAAATTTTTTTTTATTTTTTAATCCTGAAAAAAATTTTTAATTTTCTTCCCTCATTTGTCTATGAATTTGTTGATTATTTCTACTGCTTGTTCGTTTATTTAAAAAAATAAAAAATGATAATAATAATTGGAAAACACGATTTCACGGCAGATAATTTAATTTATTCTATTTATTTATTATTTTTCTTTTAATTTCAAATTTAACCATTGAAGTATCGGTTTGATAGAAATTAATACTGGTATCATTATAGGTAAAAATAATGGTATGTATACCGCGTACCTAAAAATAATATTAACGACAAATATAGATATGAATAAAACATAAATACTCATTAAATAAGTTTTTTTTTTTTAAAATATACGCACTTTTGATCGTCGGGAAAGTACAGGAGAGAAAGCAAAGAGGGATCCGTAAAAGCTTTTTCGGATGCCAGAAAAGCTTTCTTTGATAAATTATAACCAGTTAATAAATCCCCTTTGCCGAGAGCTTCACTTGCTTCGTAAACGTTATCTAAAGCTGAATATATTGCATGACCGACTTGATCGTTAATCACGATGTTATTTATTTTTCCGAGAAGTTTCGACAAAGACTAAATAATAATCATTTAAAATAAGCCAATGAAAAAAAAAATTGTTTTAAATATGCACGATATATATACCTGCAATGTAAGTTTTGTAAATGTCAATTGCTCAACTGTTCGCAATCTAAGGAGCGAATCTTTTTCCCACAACCTGACTTTATTTAAATTTTTTGTATCTTGAACTTCTGCTATATCGGGCATTCCCAAAAGTAAACGAAATTGCGCTAAATACACTGACATAACATAATTGCTATCTATATTAACCTCAACTTTTTTACCGTCCGAACAAAAATTTCTGTAAAAATTAAAAGAAAAAATTTTATTTACAATTATTATTTTTCTTACGTTTCCCTTAGCGATCGAATTTATTTATTCAATTTTCAGATAAACTGAAAAAAAAAAAAAAAAAAAAAAAAAATTCATACTGACCTGTTGTGATTGTAAATTTGAATTCCACCCCATTTTGGTGAAATAAAGGCGTTTGCTCCTTCTAATTTAAAACCATTTTTTGTATATATGAATAACGGAGATGTAGCACATGGAGGAATGTATAAAATAAAATTCAAACATGGATATTTCGACACGTGAGAAGCTGAAAATATATCAAAAACCATTCAACCACCATATACACTTTTTTTTTTTTTTTAGTTAGTAAAAATAATAAAAAAAATTTTTTTCATTAATAACAATGAGTAAAAACACATGCTTGAGTAAAATTACAATTAAAGAAACAGTATTTTTTGACTCAAATTTCTTAATGGTTTTTTTTAAAAAAAAAAAATAAACATTATATGCGTGCATATAAAAATTTAAAAAAATCAATCAATATTTACCTAGCTTCTTTTCCAGAGGAGTGATTACATGAGGTAAAAGATCTGCAGGCAAAGCAAAATGAGGACCTTTATCGGTAAAATTTAAAAATTTTGTTTGAACTTGAAGATCGACATAATAAAGCCACTGAGATTTTATATGAAATTCATACATATCATTTAAATCAGATTTAAATGGAGTAACAAAGTCTAAAAAAATGCACTAAAAATAATTAATCACCTTTTGTTCTGCATTAAATTGTTTTTAAGCAAAAACAGCCAATTATAATACCCTCAATGGCTTTTTGAATATCAAAAGTCACATCCAACAGATCTGGATCTGGATTTAAAATTGTAAAAAGTATGTCAAAACTTTCAGACAAAGAAATTTTGTGCCTGGAATTTTTATTTAGTTTACTTTGTACTGGCAAGTTGATTTCTAGAGTTGTATCAACCAGAACATCTTCATTCAAAACTTTTGTATTTATGAAGTCGTATAATTTTACTACATCTGAAACATGATGCATTTTTTAAAATGTAAATTAAATTTATTTAAACACAGATAAAGCGATAAAAATAAGAAACAATGAAAAAAACTTGACTCGAGACTTGAAATGGCACACTTAAAACTAACTAGCTTACTGTCAAAGTTTTTCTTTTCCTTACTCTTCATTCATAACTCAACTTGTGTTAATAAAAAATGATTACCTACATTAGACGCAAAGTAAATAGTTCTTTTTTCTCCTAGTACAATACTATAAGGCACAAATCTACTTAATCCAGGGATTTCAATCAATTGTAAACTTCCAACATATGAAGGATGTTTGATTTTATTTTCGATTTCTGCCAAAGTTTTACACGACCCCAGTAATTGTTTATCTACAGTATGTTGTTTAAATGTTATGTTGAATATTTCTGAAAACAGTATTACAAGTTTTTTATACATATGTAAAAATGTAGGAAAATGCAAAAAAAAAAAAGTTACTATTTTAAAATATTCTCAAGAACTTGAATTCATCACTGTAAAAAACTAATCAAAATTAAAATTTAAATAAATCATTGACTCACTAGAGATTTGAAAAAATTTTTTTAAATCCTCAACTATTGCTGTTCCCCTGCTATTGTCTATCGTCATAACGTGAATATTCATTTGAATTGTTAATTTATGTTCGTGTAAAACATCTATTTGAGAATACGGTAAACTAAATCTATAAACTTCTGTTGTTTTCCACCAAAGCGGCACTCCAATTAAAATAAGAACGACGAAAAACGATATTGCCGAATACATTTGGCTATCTGTCAAAATATTAAAAATTCATTTCTACAACTGACATCGAATATTAAGGTACAAATGATAACGGTGGTTATGTATAAAAATTTTAAAACCCGGTATAAACGCACCTGTAGGCTGAATTTTTTCATCTTTAAGTTTTTTCATGTTTAATTATAGAACAAAAAATCTATTAAGTTTAATTAAAAATAATAAGAAAAAATAAATACATAGATAAGAAAGATTTTCTTTCCACTGTGTATTCCACCGCCTTTTCAAAATTAAAGAAATTATTCAATCCTAAAAAAAATCTCATATTAATGCCTTTAATATTTTTAATACTTCATTTATTTAATGCTCGTGCAAATAAATTAAACATTAAAATACGTTTTATCATTTTTAAATAACACTTGAGTAACTGAAAAAAAGCGTAAACAATAATTATATTTTAAAACAATTACGTTGTCGTTTCACGTAGTAGGACGCCAAAAGCATATTTGTAACGGTTTTTAGTTTTTTTTTAAAAAATGGATAGTGATTCGATTAAAAGCTTTAATTTATCATTTAAAAACTTAGAAAGTGATACGGATGGAAAAATGACAACATTTTGCACGTCGTCTCTAAATTACAAATGTCGAAATCAAAACGAAATGACCACTAATTTTGTAACAGAACATTCCATTCAAGCTGTAACATCAAATCACAGTAAATGGTGTGACGCCTTTTCTACGTCTATTGTTAATATGAACGCTAAGAAAGCATGGAAAAATGGTACTAAAAAAATTTCTCAAACTTTGAGCAGCGTACAAAGTACTTTTGGAACAATTACCAAGGTAAAACAAAACCTATGGACTTATATTAATTCTTTAGTAATATGAAAATTCTGTTATACTCAAAATATTTTGTATAATATTATTTTGACAGAAAATGAAAAGATCAAAACAAAGGAAACCCTTGATTAATTTAGATTCTCCATCTCCGGCGACTCCTTACACAAAAAGCAAAATTGCACTCGGAAGAACACCCACAAAACTCTACAGCCCTTTTGGGATTGACACTCCGAAAAAAAAAGAAAATTTATCAAACAGGTAAACAAAAAAAAATTAATTATTTTTAAAAAACAAAATATGAAGAATTTAATAAAAGTGATGTTCCAGGAACAAAAAGCCAATCAATTCTCCCAAATCTCAATTTAAATCTGCTAGAAGAAAATTGCAGCAGGCAGCATTTGACTCAAAACAAAAGATTGTCTCATCGAATTTTATAAATGATCACATTGTAATTTAATTCGAATATTTATTGGAAATATTTTTGTCTCAGTTAGTAGTATTATCAACATAACAACGTAAATAAATAAAAATCCATTTCATAAATTTTCTCGAGCCATAGACAAAATGGGACTTGAAAAATTTTCTTAAATTAAATCACAACAAATAGTGTAAGTAAAATATAAAATTTCTTTTCAGTATTACACATCATGTTATTTATACCAAAGTCAGTAATCACGATTAAAATAAAAAAGAGTACAAAGTTTAATTACGATGAAAACTTACAAAGGATTTAAAATTTCTTTTAATGACATAAGTACAATTGGTTGTAGTATTATACAGTATTATACATTGCCATATTAATTTTAAAATAATCTACATAAATGTTTGTTCATTTCATTTCTAGTCAAATATATATAATCAATCATTGATTCCAAAATTTTAATTAACAATTGACAAATTACATGATAGATAATAAAAATGGAATTGTTTAGCATGCATTGTTTACTTTTTTTTAAAAAAAAAAATTTTTTTTTATGATTAATTGTAAAAATAAATGAAAATGATTGAATTGATTGATTGTTGAATAAAATATTTTTTTTATTTAAAATGTGTGTCAGTATTTTTTAATTTTATGAAATTGTATAACAGGATAATAGTAAGTATTCGAAGGAAGAAATGAAATAGAAATTAATTAAAAGAATATGAACATTATTGTTCAATGAGCAAAAATATAAATTTATTTTAAATAGTATTAATTTAAATATTTGTTATTAGTCAAAACGCTCCTCGTTTTAAAAACTAATACAATAATAAAATTAAAAGAAGAAAATTTTAATAGAATATGCCATCATTACTCTATATAAGAAATACATGTGAATAAACCAAATTGAAGAGAAAGTTATTTGAATTAAACTTTGAAAAAAAAAAAAAAAACAGTATTAATTTGAGAAGACTGTTAACAATATTAAATCACAAATTAAAATATATAATATATTATAATTAATTTTAAGATAGTAGAATTTATGAAGAAGATTAAAAAAAAAGTGAAAGTAGTACTTTTAGTACTAACAAACTCTTTTAGTATTAATAAATTGTTAGCAAGTAATTTTAAATTTTTTTTTTTTGTTCCTTAAATGGAATATAAATATATATATATAAATGTTAATAATTTTCAATAGTATTAATTTAAATATTTTTTTTTTTTTTAATATTAAGAGAATATTTAAAGATAATTTAATAACATATTATTTTGTAATTTAGAGAAAAAAAAAAGAAAGAAAAATGCAAAAGTTATAAAATATCTCGTGTTTAAAAGCAAAAAAATTAAGTAATAAATTATTATTATTATTATCAACAACATTTTTTTTTTTGATTAGTTTCGTTACAAAAAAAAATTGATATTTTTAATTCAAAAAACAAATTAAAATTTTTCACTTATGATAATAATAATAATTCTTATAATATTAAAATAATAAATTTTTATTTAAAAAAAAAAAAAGAAAACGAGAAATTGTATGTAAGTTTCAATTGATAATAACATTTTTAATAACAATAAGATAATAATTTAAAATTTAATAGTTATTAACTTTTTTTTTTTTGTTTAATAAATTGATAATATTTATAATAAAGTTTAAGTCCTGCATTTTAATAAATTTATAAAAAATTTATCTAAGCGAAAACCATTTAAATAAAATAATTTTCTCAATAATATTTCATCTATCTATATAATTTGAGTGTAATAAAGTGCCATTATATATATATATATATATATATATATATATATATATATTATTTATAGTATTTGGATAATTAAAATGATATGTAAATTATTATTATTATTATTTATTTAAAAAGCATTAAAGCTAAATTCGATAAATTAACGAACAATAAAGCAAATTCTTATATAAATACGTTTATATATATGTATAATCTGAACGAGATAAACAATTTTTCTTTTCTGTCTCTGTCTTTCTCTTTCTCTATTAATTATTTTATAATTTAATAATAAGTATAACAAGAAAGTTTAATTAAAATATTTTTATGTGAGTAAGTAGTAATAATAATAATTACTTTAAATTTAAAACGGTGAATTTTTTTTTTAACAGTACTACTGTCAAATTAAAAAAAAAAAACAATTTAAATAATGATAATAATAATAAATGATTTTTTTTCTGTATTTACAAAAAGCATTTAAATATATATATATATATTTATAAATTTTAAATATGAATTAAAGACATAATTATTATTATTATTAAATATTAAATTGCGAGGCCAGCCTCGACAACAATTACGAATAAGTTAAAAGTAAAATCTTTTATTCATTGAATAATATGCAATTATTAAATTATAGTTTTTTTAAAGATATATCGTATTATTATTATTATTATAATATAAATTATAATAAATAAAAATGATGATAATATTTATCGGTGATTTAAATACAATTTAACAGAGAGAAAAAAGAAAGAAAAAACAATTAATTATATACAAATAAAATAATAATAATAATAATCCATTACTAATGATTATTATTAAAAGTTCAAAAAAAAAAAGAAATTTTTTGAGCAAAAAAGGCAAAAAAATTAATTAATTTTTTTTTTTTTACAATATTTGAACAACGTTTTTGTTTTTGTTTTTTTTTTTAAAGAGCTATAATTAAATAATAAATAACCATTAACGGCGGGTTTTTTTTTTTTTTAATGAAATGAATAAAGGCACATTTAAAAATTTTTTTTTTATTTCTTTCCTTTTTTCTTTCTCTTTTTTTTTATTTAATTTTTCCTCAACTTTAATGAATTTCAAAATAAATAATGTTTGAAGCGTTAAAAGTTATTATTAATAAATTTTATAATTTAACAAAATAATTATTTATCTATACAATGTTTTGTAATTTTTTTTAAAAATATAATAATAATAATAATAATAATAATAATAGAATGTTTTAATTATGAATCTAAGAATACGCATCGATAAAATAAGCAATTAAATAAATAACCTGATAAATGCACGCACGCACGCACGCACGCACACGCATCATAACATATTTAATTTTAAATAAAAGAAAGAAAGAAAGAAAAAATATTGACTAGCAGCGCAATTAAACGTGAATTTATATATATATATATATATATATATATATTACATTAATTATTAAAATTAATAAATTAAATTTTTAAGTAAATAACAATATATATATATATATATATATTCATATTGAATAATAATTTTATTATTAACATTATTATTTAATTATTTCCTTCTTCGCCCGGGATTTTTCCGTGAAACCTTTAAAGAAAGAAAAAAAAAGAAAAGAGATTTGAGTTAAAAAAAAAATATTGTGCATCGTCACACACACAATAAACATTTTGACAAATTTTGTTTAAAAAAAAAGTTTACCCGCCGATCCAGTAGAAAAATAGAATTTTATTTCCGATTCGAGTTTTCACATTCGATTTCACGGAAAATTTAGTATCATTCAAACAAACGTTTCCTCCCTTCCCCCCTCCTCCTCCTCCTCCTCCGTAATTTAAACAATGCATGCTAAGTAAATGATAATAATATTGATAGTAATTAATATAATTACCTGTTATTTGGAGCGGAATTGTCTGGAGATGGCGACTTTGGCTGGACAACCTGGAAGGACTGCCGGACATCCAGCCTCTCTTTTTCTGCTGCCATAGCTCGTTCTTTCTGCAATCTGATATAAATATATATTTTATTTTATTCATATAAAAAAAAGGAAATTTTTTAATGATCTCCAATTTTGAAATATTTTCAATTTTTTAAATATAAATTAAAATTATGTATATAATATATGTATGCTGGGAATAAATAATATTAAATGTCTCCTGACATTAGTAAAAACAATTGACAATGAATAATATTATATTATTGATTTATTGAGCTCACCGTGTGTTCCAAATCCCACAAGTTGTGGCTTAACACAAAAATAATAATAATAATAATCATTTTTTCTTTAAATTAATAATAATTATGTGAAATCATTTTAAGTAAATCTATAATCAATTTATATGAAAAAAAATAAATAAATAAATAATAAATACTTACTTATTTTTTGATTGCCTCATAAATTGTTGGATTTTACAGGCAGCCTGGTGTTGCCTCCTTTGAGAATATGTACGCCTGAAAAACAAAAAAAAAAAAAGTCTCTTTTATTTTGTAATTTAAAAAAAAAAAAAAAAGGAAAAAAATTATTTGAAAACTATTGATTACTTTAAACCAGCAGAAGGTGTCGTTTCCCTGGAACTCCTTCTCGTATCCCCTTGTTCTTTGTAATGCCTATAATAATTTTGTATGCAAACAGCTGCTTCCTGAGATTTTTTAAATCTTTTGTGCTCGCAATATGATCTGTATCCATTTTGTATTACCATGGCAGCGCGAGTCATTTGCTTATAATATGCATACTGAAAACAAAAAAAATTCATATATATATATATTGGTAATATTACTGTAATAAAATTTACTACCAATATTTCACTCGTTCCCGAGAGGAAAGGGTGAAACATGATGAAACAAAGAAAAATTGATAAATACATTTAAAGTATTAAATTTTTAAAATAATTTTAAATTAGAAACAATAAAATAACGCGTGTGGAAAAATAAAATAAATAAATTAATCAACTCACTTGTTTATAACGTCTAAAATAATTTTGAATTAAAATAGCTGCGGCTCTTTCTTTATCCTCTTCTAATTTTTTTCTCCCTTTATAAGATCTATATGCTTTTTGAATTATTTTTGCGGCTTTATATAATTCTCTCTGCTCTTTATCTATAATTAATAATAAATAATTTTTTTAATTTAAGTTTTTTTTTTTTTTTTTTTTTAAAAGAATAATTATAATCGCTGAACCTGAAAGAGTAAGATTGGAAAAATCTTTTTCAAAAAATGAACCGGAAGCTTGAAAAAATTCACAAAAATCTTGCGTCGTCGGAGACGGAGATGGTGGTTCTAATGGAAACACCGGGGATGGAGATTGTAAACTACTCGAACCTGGACTCAAACTAGAACCGGGTGTTCCAACGTCATAATACCTGATTTTAAAAAGAAAAGAAAAAAGTATATAACTTTTACTTAAATAAAAAAAAAAAAATTAATATAACAATAAAAAAAATTTTTTAAACATAAAAACCTATAATTATGATCGCTAAATTCAAAATTGAATACATTCGAAGGGTAAGAAGAACAATCTTTTTCTGAAAGGGTTTCTCTTAAAGAAGAATCACAAAGTGCATCGCTGGATGGAGAAGATGGTCGAGTGTCTAATTGCATCTCTTCACTTTCGTTCTGCGAATAAAAATACAAAAAAAAAATATTATTTCAATAGCGAAAAAACCCAACAAAAAGAAAAAAAAATGAATACCTTAATTCTATCAGGAATGGCAGCGATTATCTGCTCGGCCAAAGTCAGCACTTTTACTTCTTGATTCCCTATAAAAAAAATGAAACAAAAAAAAAAGAAAAAAATTTTTTTTTTAATATTTTAATCAATTCTTATATATATATATATATATATATATATATATATATATATATATATATATATATATATAATATGTATATAATTATTAACATCGAATATGTATATATTCTCGTTTAATAACTTTATTTACATAATACATAAAAGTGTTTTTTTTTTTTTAACAATATCAATGGATTTAATTAATACTGACTTTGGTGTTTTGCCTTATATATTTAAAAACGCAGAGTTGTTTAGTCTTTAATAATCCTTTCATAATAATAATAATAATAATAATAATATCAATTATTATTATTATTATTATTATTATTATTATTATTATTATTATTATTATTATTATTATTAGTGATAGATTCATTATTTGCATAAATAACAAAAATACGGACAATAATAAAAAGATAATTATAATAAACCTATTGAATTAAAAAGAAAAAAGGTAAATTAAAAAATTTTTGTGTGCAAAAATTATACCACCTTACCTGATAAAAAAAAAAAGAAAAAACTAAAAAAAAAATAATAATAATAATAATACCAACATACCAACGTGAACGCCATTAACGTCTAAATTCTCCCCGGAAAGATTATTATCATCTCTCTTGTCATCGGGACTCTTCAAACTTGATCCGGCTGCAGAAACCTCGCCTAATAAATGACATTCCAGCAATCAAAAACTAAGAAAAAATTGAAAATCTAAGCAATACAGTATATTAAAAAAGTACGATAAAAGATTAAACTAAAAATTAGCTAAAAAAATCAAATCTAAAAATTTGCTTAAATCATCGACTAATTAATCTGATTTATTTTTTTAATAAAAAGTATTATTATTATTATTATAATTCGCCTTGTTTAAAATAACAAAAAAATAAAAATACCTAAATCAAAGTTAAAGTATAAAGAAAAAAAAAAAAAAAAACAGAAACCCTTGAGAAAATTACTGTTTTACTGATTTATTTTTGAAAAAATAATAAAATAAAGTCAAAAAAAAAAAAAATTTGTCACCAGATTAATTAATACAAAAAAAATTAAAATTAATAAGAGTATTAAAAATATATATATATATAGTATGTTAATTTATTATATTAATTGCCATTTAATATGTGGTGCGTGATTTAAATTTAATTTAATAATAATAAAAAAAAAGGATAATAATAATAATAAAAAAATAAATAAATAAAATAAATTTTTCAACTGCATTTACCATAATAAAATATAAAATTTTATAATTATTTAAACTCTGAACTACAAATTTTTTCAATAATAAAAATATATTTAAATAATATAAAGCAATTAACCAATTCTAAATATTTATTTTCTTTTTTTTTTTTTTTTTATTTAATTTTTTTTAAAAGAAAAATTCAAAAATATATTGGACATGCTGAAAACTAAACGAAGCAAAGCAAAATTTGAGAAAAGCAGTGCTAAATTATGCACTTTTTTACTTAAATTTCTTCTTTTTTTTTTTCTTCTTCTTTTTTTTTTTTTTGTTTTACCTTGTTTAAAATATTAATATTTATTTTACTCCCTTTCTTTTTCTTTTTTTTGTTTTCAAATATTTCTTCCATACAAATTTTTCTTTAAAAAATATATACATATATATGTGTACGTATACATATATACATATATATTATAAATTTTAATAAAATTTATTTTAAAGAGATTATGTTCTAATGGAAGAAATATTAATTGTTCACAGTGAGAAATATTAATTTATGTGAATTTAAATAAATATAATTTACCAATAAAATTATAATAAATAAATAAAAATAAATAAGTGATTAAAAATAGTAAAAAAAAAAAAAAAAAAAAAAAGGGATCAACTTACATAGTGCAAAATCCATTCGATGACTGTTCGAATCAAATATGTCGCACATTGCCGATGATGGAAGAGACATGCTGCGATCAAACCTTATTTTAAAAAATCCAATCATTTTCAATGGAATTTATTTTAAAAAATTTTCTAATAAATAGAAATTTTAAAACACACACACACACACACACACAAACACATTAATTGGTTAAATTGTAATTGATTTACCTTGTTAATTTTGATATTTCTCGTTGAAATTGTTTTTATTTTTATATGATTCAAATCGGAGTGTTATCAGATTGAGATGAACACAGATTTATACCTGAATCAACAGATGGTCTTTTATTTAATCCAAATGGCTCACACTGTTCCCAATCTGAATATTAAAATTACAATTAAAGTTAAATCGTATAAAATAAATGTATATATATATATATATACATTATAAAGATTTGTTATAATAATAAAATTACCTAAAGTCGGACTCGGAGTTTTACTACGTTCGTTTGAACTAACTTCAAGACCGTTTGTACATTTCAGTCGACTTTCCATTTTTTCCAAAGAATTTGGTCTGAGAAAAATTCCATCGTGTGTTTTGTTTGAATTTGTTGACATCGTTGATGAATCGGATAAAGAATGAAGAACCGAAAACTTTGGATCTGATCTAAAAACAAAAATAAAAAATAAGTAAAAAAAAATCTTATATTCATTAAAATATACACAATATCAAAAAAAAAAAAAAAAAAAAACCTTTCTTTGCTTTGAATATTGCACGACGAAAAACGAGAGGTTTTGGATTCTTCTCTGGACGCTTCTAGTTTTTCTATTTCTTTTACTAAACTTAAATACCCCTGGGATCTGGCAAAGGTTAACGGTGTTTGTTGTAAGGAATTACGTATGTGAAGAGCAGTGTGATTCCATCGGTAAAGCAATAGAGCAGTTTCTTTGTGACCACGACTACACGCCCACATCTACAAGCATTTAATGAAGCAATAATTAAAAATTTAATTAATAATAAAATATAGATATTAATTACATACCAGGGGAGTAAATCCATCATTGTCTTGACTCAGAGCGTCGATTTCTGCTTCTAACACGACAGAGCTGTTTTCCGCTCGCCAGTGCAACATTGTGCACACTAATCTTGAATAACCTAACGATGCCGCCAGATGCAACAAAGTCATTCCTTTAAGTCCTAATTTCCAGTTCCAAGAACCACTTTCGGATCGCCATTGCCTGCATATCATATTTTGACAATAGTTAACCATTCTCTCTTCAAAATCAATTCCTTGATGATAAAGACCAACGGAATCGGACTAAAATAATAATTAATGTATTATTAATTTAAAGTTCATTTAAAAAAATACGTTTATAAAATACTTATTTGAATTATTTACCGCATCTCCAACGACTGGCTCTTGCTTAATATGAAGTCTATTATCAATGGCTTCTAGCTTTTGAAGTAATGTAAATTTAAGTAAATTTTCATTTTCTTCCACTTTCGGTTCCAGAAGCTTGACGGAATCATCACTGGGAGGTTTTTTATATTCGAACATTACACTGTTTGATATTACAAAACCTTCACAAGCAACTTGAACCATTGCAAGGCCTACTTCGTGAGCTGTAAAGTGAAACGAATCGATAATAAAACATTTCAAAGTTAAAAAAAAAAAAAAAAAAAACAAATCAGTCGTTTTCATTTATTTTATTTATATATATATATATATATATAGACACAAGAATTTTAACCTGGACAATAACATCTTAATACTCCTGATTGGACGAGAGTCGTAGGTACAGGAAAAGAATCAAACAAAACAGTGTATTGGGAAGTAGAGGAGTACCACGGTCCTGTCACCAAAACTTTTACTCCCCCTTCGGGATAAGCCCATTCGGGAGAATAATCAGTTATAGACGCAGAGCTATCCCGAAATTCGTTACAATAAGCAAAAGACGAAAATTCATTTTTCAAATTCCTCGAATCTTCTTCTAAACCGGAACCTTGAATGTTATGCATTACAGAAGTATCTAAAATATTATAGTTCGAATTAGTCATCTTAAACCGTAATTCAATTCATTATTATAAATAATTTTAATTAAAAGATAAATATATTATAGAAAATTCTTCGATTCCATACCCGAATTGCTTGATTGATTTAAAACCTCTAATTCGGGAAAATCATTTAAAATATCAAAAGCATCCAGATTGACAAAAACATCATCATCAACAATGGCCGGAGGCGAATCAATAAGTTCCATTGGGTTAATTTCAGGAACGACGACATCTGGTAATATTACTTGATTGGAAGGAGACGGAGATTTACTTTGTGATGCTTGCCTAAAAAAATTTTTTTTTTTTTAAATTAAAAATCAAAGGGAAATTTACATTAATTTATATCTAATATAATAATATATAAGAATAAAAAACAAACCTGTTGGACGACATATCTGACAAAGGCATATTTGCCAAAAGAGTTTTTTGAATATCTTCTTGTGAAAGATCTAATGTTTCATTATATATATTGGAGCCGGACACTGAGGAAGACAAAGAACTATTCCGATTTTTTCTAGAAGAATTTACTATGAGTATTGTATCACCTAAAAAAAAAAATTAACAACCTATATAAAATATACAAAAAAAAAAAAAGAAAGAAAGAAAGAAAGAAAGATGATTAACAAGCTCACCGGGATTTTCGGTTGAATTCATGAATTTCGAACAAGCTACAGAATGACTGACGAGATTTTTTTCATCGTCAATTTTTTGATTTGAAAATACATTATTTTCAAAATGCGACACATTGCAATGATCCTTATCAGAATCGTCTAATTTTCGAGTGACTTGGTTATTGATCAAACGGCAGCAGGATAACTGGTTAGAATTTGCGGATTCATGCTTGAGAATGACTTTATTTCGAGGGTGATGATATTGTTTAAGGGGCGGTTGTTGATTAGAAGTTAAAACTGCTGATGTTTTGTTGTATTTAAAATTTGAACCGTTTCCAACAGATGCGGGCGGGTGATTGGAATTCACGGCTGCTGAGGACGAGTTGTTTAAAATTAATAAATTTGTGCCGCCTTGAATTTGGGATAAAGACAAACCTCCAGGCGAATTGATTTGTGAAAGTGAAAGAAACACCGAGGAATGACCTTGAGTTTCACAATGGATTTTATCAGTTTTAATTCCTCTATGATTAACGGGAGCGCATGACGTGCCAATAGAAAGTGATCCCTTCGTACCATTAGTTGGTAACGCCTTGAATAATTAACAAAAATAAATTAATATCGAAAATGATTTTTTACAAATTTTTACAATTTTTAAATTAAAATATTAACAAATGAAAAGCCTTGGCGTACCTGATTACTTCCACTACATTGACCACTTTTAAAATTGTTTTCGGGTTTAATATGCGCCGCAGTTATTTTCCTCATTGGATGAGAACAACTTTTGCTATCAGCACAAGTAGAATCTGGACAACCACATTCCAATTGTTTAGAAATGGTGGCTGCTCGTGCAGCTCGTTGTTTTTCCATTAACTGATTAACAATTACTTCAACCGTTTCAGCCGTCTTTTGTACAAAAGAGAAAAAAATAAATAAATCAATTACAAAAAAGATTAAAAAATAAGAATTGTAAGAAACAATAATAAATTTTCAAAGGGCTACTTCTAATATTGATAAAACATTTGATTTACACTATTTTTAAAAGGAAAAAAAAAAAAAAAAACATTTATGATCCCCGAATATGGGTATATATACCCATATATATGTATAACATATATAATATTTTACGTATAGGAGCCTGTTTCGGTTAATAAATTTCAATTTTTGAAGCGGAAAAAAAAAAACATTATAATCACTGAGATTGATACAAATGACCATAATAAGAATCGATACAAAGGATGAACCTCGAGTGTTTCGAATCGAAAAATAAAGAAAAAATAAAAAGGCAATCATTGATTTTTTGAGATGTCATTTTGATTGTTTTGTAAAACATCATATAAGTGATTGAACGAATAATTAAATAAATACAAGCCGCAACATATTAAAAGAAAGTAATCGCAGTTTGTATGAAAGAAATATTAAAAAAAAAAAAAAAATTTCGTAAAAGTAACAATCGTATTTTTAAATAATAATAAATAAATAAAAGTAATATTTAAGGAAACCTACCGAAATTTCCAATTCATTATTGAGATCCCGCTCTTCTTCAGAATAAACTGTAACAAAATAAATAAATAAAAAAAATATTAAAAATAAACTTCATCGTTTGAGTAATATTTGTGTAAATTTGTTTAATTAAAAATCAAAAAAAAAAAAAAAAAAATTATTTCACATGATGAATCCCAGCATTATATTTATGGATTCATTAATTTAATACAAGTATGTATACTTTTAAAGCGTTTCTATTTCTAAAGATTTCACCCCCATTTCGGACCTTTTCACCTTTCGGTTCTCCGGTACTCCCCATTTTCTATCCTTCTTTCATTATTTTATTTCTTTGATGGTAAAGCAAAGCTTTTTTTTTAATGACAGAATTCTTCCACTAACAATATTTGACCTTTACTATGGCGGCCATCGTTTACGAAAATGAACACCCGTGAAGGCATATATACTCTTCCCGTTCATAAAAAAAAAAAGAAATTAAAAGAATATAAAAATTTACACATAGGTTTTAGTTGACACACCAATTCCTCTTTTGTCCATTCTTTCTTGTCTCCCCAGACAGCGAGAGAAGGAGCTATAACTGCTAATTTATTGTCATCGGGATAAGGAACATTTAAATAATGAACTAAAACTATATCTGGATTCTAAAAATAAAAATTAATATGCATGAAAATACACTCTTAATTTATTCTTCTTCTTTTTTTTTTTTTCCTAAATCAATGTCATTATTTTACCTGAAGGAGCCAATAACATCTGCGATGAAAGGTGGGTAAAATGGCGGAATGAACGTAGCAGCCATAAATGCATTCCGTTCCTTGAACTTTTAATTTCATGTGATCTTCCCTAGTTGTTTTCCCATCTTTTCGTTTTTTCCAACAATAACCATCTCGTCTATATCTAACTTTTTTTCTACTGTACAACAACATAGAACCACTCTTAGGCCTAAATAATAAAATTGAGAGAATATCGAAAAAATTAAATTTATATAAATATAGAAAATTAATGAAGAATAAAAAAAAAAAAAAATTGAAAAATTGAAATAAAGAAAGGTAATTTTATTATTGTCTTGAAATTATCTATATGAATCCATAATTACACAATACAAACTTCTCTAATATATTTCTTTTTATAATTTTTAAATCCCTAAAATTTAAAGTAATTATACTAATATAACTAATCTATTGAAAAAATTATTTAAAATTATACCTTACGCATAAATAAATATTCTAAATCATTCGATAAAATAATAATTCGGTATAATATTTTTAAGATTAGAATTCGAATTGAGAAGAATTGTACTTTGTCGAAACAAACATCTTTAAAATACATTCAGCGTAATATAATGTTTAATTTAAACAAAAAAAAAAAAAAAAAAAAAACGACACAAATTGAAATAAACACAAATTTGCCTGAAACATAAACTAATGCCATAAATATTATTTATAGTTAAATAAAATAAATTTAGAAAAAAAAAAAAAAAAAACGACAACATTGTGTTTAATTATATAAATGATGCGGTTTAATATATAATATTCAATAAGAATCGTTGAATATTGTATAATCGTACAATTATTTAATTTTAAATTGGAAATAAACCTAATTTCATAAATAGGTAAATTAATTTTAAAATATTTAATTATTAAATAAGTTTAATAAAATAATTTAATTTTAAATCGCTTGCTTAAACCTTTCAAATAAAACAATAATTTGAATGTATTCATTTAATTTTTAATTTGCATAAATAAAAAGCGAGGTAACAAAATTTTAGAAAAAATTTAAAACCTTACCTTAAAAAAGAAAAAAAGAAGAAGAAAAATATAATTACCGAATTTTAACTTCTTTTGATTGCCAGTCATTGTGTTTATCGAAACTAATGAGAATGGCGGCTATTTCCTAAAATGAAATAAAATTTTAGCATTAAAATAATAAATTTTTTTTTTTTTTAACATGTCATTTTATTATTGTATCACGAAATTAATTATAGACGAATAAGTTTCAATGCAAAAAAAAAAAAAAAAAAAATTAAATTTACTGAATTAAACGAAAAGTATATTGAAATTGTTTATCTATTCATTTAAAAACATTTTAAAAGACCAAATCAGATAAAAATGTTTATAAATTATAATAAAAAATAATCAGAGGCATATGGAAAACAAATGTACACACCTATTATTATTATTATTATTAAAAAATTATAAAGGAATTGTAACTCCCCCCATGAATACACCAATGAAAAATTTAGTTTTATTTTAATTTAATAAAAACTTTTGTTTTAATTAAGTCAAATTTTTAATAATAAGGACACACACATTTCATACATAAGTCAATTTAAATTTACACTTATATATATATTTATTTGCGAGAACGTATGTAAATATATATATATAAATTGCGCTGCCTGGTACATTTACAATTCATAAAAATCATTGAAAAAAAAAGTTAAAATTAAAAAAAAAAGAAAAAAGAAAAAAAAAAATTCGTGTCTAAGTTTTTCGTGCAAGCAGCGTAATAAAGTTATTTTTGTCGTGCACGCAGGAACAAAAATTTCAAAATTATTTTTTTTCTCTCTTTTTCTCTTTTTTTTTTTTTTTTCTTCAGAATAAAAAAAAGTTTTGATGATGGTATATTTATAATTTATAGAAGCATAATAAAAATGTATTTATTTACCTCATTTGTGTTCCATCGATGTCTTTGGGATGGAAATTGTTCAGCCTTAGGTACGCTTTCCAAATTATCCGGCAACTTAATGGATTCTCCATCTAAAAAAAAAAAAAAACAAAAAAATATTTCACTCATAATTAATGTTATAGAAAATTCATTAATATTAAAAAAAAAAAAAATAAATAAATACAATTATATCGAAATGATAAATTTGTTTATGTATATATATATATTAAGTAAAATATAAGAATGAATGAGAAAAAAAAAAAAAATTTATAAGTTTAATTTTAAAAATTTCATTTAAATAAAATAAAGACCTTCGGTTTACCTTCAAACACGGTTTAAATTTCAAAATAATTTTCAAAAAAAATAAAAGCATGAACAACGTATAAATACTAATGACGTTCTTAAATGTCGAAAGTAAAATAAAATCCTTTGAATAAAAAAAAAAAAAAATTTTGTGAGTGTGACATCAGATTGGAGACATCGTAACATTTAAAAATTTCCCTTTTTAAAATTCATAATTATATGTATATATTTAACTTAATTAAGTGATTGGCTGAAGTATATTATAAAAAAAAAAATTAAAACTTTTAAGTAAAACAAAGTTTTAAAAAAAAAAAAAAAAATTTACGACTTTGAATAAAATATTAGTACATGACACGTAGATTTAAGACAAAAGAAAAAAAAAAAAAAATTAAATCAAATAAATCAAAAAAAATATGATAATCTGTTTTGAACGGAAAATTTTTCAAAAATGTTTTTATATATGTATATATATTTTAAATAAATTATTTTAATAAGTCATAAAAAAAAAAATAATTAAAAAAATTATTTACAAGTCAATTATTTGACGAAATTTTTATTTGCGAGAAAAAAAAAAAAAAACGGTTGTATCGTGACAAAGTAAAAAAAATTTATTAAAAAATTTTTTTTTCTTTTGTACGCTCAACGAATTTTGTGTCATAAATAAAAAATATTTATGTACTCTTTGTAATATTTATTTATTAAAAAATTATTATTAACCTCTAAGTAATTGTATCAATAAGGTAGATTTTCTTATATCATTTTTTTAAAATAAATTAATTAAATGTATAAGGTTTTTTTTTTTGTTTTTCGAATAAGACCTTATACAAAAAATATTGTTATTTTCGTATGTATTTTATATAAGAGTATTATATTATGACATTTGATGTCCGAATACTATTGCAATAAATTTTCAAATACTTTAATGAACCTCTCATATATTTGAGTGATTAATGCCACCACAATTGAAAAAATACAGCACGTAAAATATATTAAAAATAATTTTACAATGAGAAAAAAAAAATGAAAAAATTTTGCAAAAATCAATAATTAATTTTTTTGTCGGTAACACAAAAAAAAAAAAAAGTTAAAAACATTACGCCCTCATGAAGGAAATGAAAAGAAATTATATTTCGTCTTTTGTTAAATCTGTATTGTATATGATAATTCTAATTGACCAGAGCATATGTTTTAAATAATAATTTTTAAATAAAAGTTGGAAAAAAAATAAATAAATAAAAATACAAAAAAAAAAAAATGATAAAAAAAATAAATAAGAAAAAAAATTTTTTTGTCAGAACTCGATTTAAATTTAAAAAAGGGCAAAAACCGAAATCGGGAGAAAAATGAAAGGGAAATGAAATTTTGAAGAAGAAAAAAATAATATAAAATTTTTAAAGAAAATTTTTTTTTTTTTTCTTTTGCTTTTATTGACTTGTTTGAATACATTATTGATTTCGGTTCGGTCACGTTATGCGAATTTTAGTCTTTTCTTTATTTTCAGATGATAAATGTATTCTGCCTTTTAAAAAATTAAAAATCTCAATTTAAAAAAAAAAAAAAAAAAGA